GATTGAACCCAGGACCTTGTGCTTGGGAGGCAGGCACAGTGCCACTGAGCTAAATCCCCGGCCCTAAAATATTTTTAGATGAAAAAAGTAGGACTTGGGGAATAGCTCAATGGCAAAGGCAGCAAAGTACACTAAAAATGCTTTCTATAACTGACACATCTTTCATAGAGATATTCTAAAGACAGTCACCCACATTTACAACTGAATGGAAAGATCTGTATAACACAAATGGTACTTTCCACAAGGGATACATGAAAACTAGTATAACATTTCTTTTTCAAACCATTTTCACAACAGGTGTCCTGCTAATAACACAGAAAGTAAGTAGAGGAAGCACCCACCATACCTCATACGTAAGACCAAGTGTTACCTTCAGGTGAACATGTAATAAAATGACCTTTTTAAAGTAACCATGCTGCCCAATTACCACATAATCCAGTAATTCCATTTTGTGTATATACCCTAAAAGCTGAAAGCAGGGACTCCAACAGATTTTGCACACCAATGTTCAAAACAGCATTATGCACACTAGTCAAAAGGTGAGAAGCAACCTAAATGTACACTGAGGATGTATGGATAAACAGAATGACAAAATGTGTACCCTGGAACAGTGATGTGTACACATAGCCCCAGCTACTTAGGAGGCTGGTGGTGGAGGATCACTTGATCCTAACAGTTTGGGACCAGCCTGGGCAACACAGTGAGACCTTATCTTAGGAAAAAGAAAAAAGAGGCAGCCAAGGTGTCAGACTAATATAGTGCTTTTCTTGTAAGAGAAGCAAAGTGGATCCAAAGGAGTGACCTTTAATTACCACCTTTAATATGGTAGCTATATAGTGGGAAACTTTTGAGCAACAATTTTAAAAATAGTACTAGAATGGGCTGGAGATTTGGCTCAGTGGTTTCACCACCTGCCTCACAAGCACAAGGGCCAGAGTTTGATCCCTGGTACAAAAAGAAAGTACTAGATTCAATCTTCCTTCATTGCCATTATTAAGTTACTTGTGAAAGTTACCTAGCCTCGCTGAGCCTCATCTGAGAAATGGGGTAATATAACTATTTTCTAACACACATATACATCTATCTCACATAGAGCCAATGCTTGTATACAGAAAATCTCAAAAAAAGAAAATTCCTTCCCCTTCTGCAGTTCACTAGCATCTGCAGCCTGATCAGCCTCTAGGAGTTGATGTTTTTTGGGGGGCAGTGACCTATGGCTCCTCCCTCAGGCCCAGGCTGTTTCTTCCCCTTCTAGCTGTTTCATTCTCAGTTTCTAAGAGGATCATGCCTATATTTAGAGGTAACGCCAGTATCAACTGTGGACTCAGCAGGTGCCTGGAGAGCACTTGAACACTGAGCAGTTTTCAATTGTTTTCCAGAGTTAATTGATTAGTTTTGGCTCCATGACCAGCTGTCTAGACTTTTACAAGAGTGCCACGTATGCATAGTGCTTCAGCAGTACACTAAACAAAATCAGTGTGATCACAGACAAACCCCGAGCAAGATGTTTTTAGGGTTATCAGGTCCCAAAAGCTTTGTTAAATTACAAGAACAATAAAGTTTCCATAAACTCTACAAGTATTGCCTACTAATCCAATCTTTATCAAAATCAACAGTGTATCAGACCCAAGTTTCAACCAGAACATGCTGCTTTACTACAACTAAGGTGGGGATGGAAGAGAAATCAGGGGCCGGGGATTTAGATCAGTGGAAGAGCAAGGACCCAAGTTTTATCCCTGGTACCCACCCCCCAAAAAAGCAGACATTCAGCAGAGCTCAGGCTGGATCCAGCTGTTATTCACTAGCTCTGTGCCCTTGTTTAACTTCTTAATTTACAAAGAGACCAATGGTGAGGATTAAATGAGATAATACCTACCAAAAAAATCTTAACATCTTGCCTAACACACTGAAAGAGGTCAAAAAGAACCACATCACAGCCGGTTCTGGTGGTACAACCCTGTAATTCCAGTACTTGGGAGGCTGAGGCACGACTGCCCCAAGTTCGAGACCAGACTGGCTACGTACACAGTGAGTTCAAAACCAGCTGGAACTATATGGCAAGACCTTGCCTTAAAACAAAACAAAACCATCAACTCTAAGGATACTGCACTCACACTTGCTTTGTTCAGTTCTTGTGACATATATACAATCCAGAACATTATTTCTGGACCTTTTGAAAGTAGCCTAAAGCTGAGCCATGGATTTAATTCACTGGTGCCATCACCTGCCTCCCACACACAAGGTCCCAAGTTCAATCCCAGGTACCAAAAAAATAAATAAATAAAAGGAGCCTAAAGCTGCCATCAGATGTAACTGAAGAATAAATACACTGATGAATGCACAGAAACCTCAGATGAGTCAGCAAAATTTATGCCCAATAAATAAAAAGGTTATCACAGACTGTATGAGCACATAATGGTAACTACAATTTCAAAATCAGCAATATTCTGTTTAGTACCATTCCAAATTTGGTCTGGAAATCCATGTACTTTAAAAATGCAGGATCATACATAACCGTAGAAATATTTTCCCACAATGTTCCCAAATCACCTAGGTCAAACTAGCAGGTATAAGGCAGCCTGAAAATTTGTAGTCATCAAGAAACAATTTTCTTGAGGCAGAATTCCAACTCTTCCTCAAGCATAAAACCAGTAGAAACGAACCTAGACATTTCTCAGGGAGAAGTTGCAAATCCAACAAAGTACTGATAACTTACAGTTTATCAAGGCGATTCATCACTTTTTGGTCCAGCTGAAAATAAGCCCTGGTGGGGCTATCCCGGATACAAAAGAAAGAAAGAAAGACAAGAAGCTCTGGGTTCTTCCTCAAACACCCTGAACTCTGCATCATCACTGAAATCAAGTGATTTCATCATCATCTAACTCAAAGCAAGGTATTTTTGGTAATCTGTCCTCTATTTCATTAAATACTGTAACTTGCTATTCAGAGGGTAAATAATGTTCGAATTACAGGCGATATTCCGCTAGACTATCTACCCTATACTCTCTGGCTCTACCATCTGCTTTAATTCAAGCCCAAACCCTATGTATTGTATTTCTATGCCTCTCGGCGTTGTTTTCTACTCCACTTCTCTCTCAATTATAAGAATGCCCTTCTTTCCTTATCTTCAAATCCCATATATTGCTCTCAAATCCTAAGGACCTGGGACAACCACACAGATGACCTCACGCATCCCCATTTCATTGTACTTCATTCACATCTCAAATGAATTCATTCTTTTCGATTTTGCTCGTTTCTTAAAATCCAATACCCCACACACACTCACACCAGAGTCCCCCTCGCTCCATTGTTTGCCTGGCCTATTCCTTCTGAAAACTCTCCAACTCGGACCCGTGTGCACGCCCGCTTCGCTAACCCCAAAAACCCTCGACCCTCTGGGCGCTCCCAGTCCCAATGGTTCACGTTCCCCTCCTCTCTGCCCCCCAACCCTCAACAACTGCCCCCTCCCCATTTTCGGCGCTCGAGCCAGCCCTTCACCTCCGTGCCCCTCTCAGAAAACGACCTCTTCACTCAGTACCCCCAGCCTCACCTAGCCCAGGGCCCGCAATCGCTGCGTCCTCCCCGCCCAGTTCCGGGATCCGCGTCCCGGACGCTCCCAAGACTGAGAAGAGGAAAGGGAGATCTTCCTCCTCCTTCTCCTCGGCTTCTGGAGACGCTGCCGTCGCCCCCGCGCTCCACCCCCAGCTCTCTCAGGGCCGGACGCCGCCCCGCCCCCACCGCTTTCCTAGTCAGTAGGGTGGCGGACGAGGAACCGCGGACGCGGCTGGGGCC